TATATATATATATATAAAAGTCCTTTGATTCAATAGTAAATCTTGAATGGAGAAACTCATGGTAGGAAGTAATTGGGGTATTACCACTTTTAGCCCGCGCTAGAAACTATTTACATCTAGTAGTCGAAAAAGTGTATAAAACTTGTATAATTTTGTGTATAACATACAAAAATATATAAATTTTATACATTTATTCGGCTATTGTTTGTACAGCAGCTATACATTGTCATTTTTTCAAAGCAATTTCCGTTTTAACGGGCCATATGCAGCTTAATTTATATGTCACGATCTAGATTTTCCACCGTCGGGATCGTGATGGCACCTAACTTTTTGGGATGCTAGGCAAGCCAAAAGATAAAGATTCAATACACTAACCATTATCCAATTCAGTAAATAACAACAATTAAACTAAACAGATAAAGGAATGCAGAATTTTATAATAATCCAAGTACTAATACACGACTACCCAAAATGTCGTGTCACAATCCACGAACTACTAAGAGTCACTACAAATACTGGCTGAAACAAAATACATCTGTTCTCGAATTAAAAGAAAACAGGAAACTAGGATAACTGGAAGGGGACTCCAGGGTCTGCGAACACCGGCAGATCTACCTTGGGTCTCCTGTTGGACTGAAGGCAGCAGCTCAAATCGGGTGAGCACGGTCCGGTACCAAAATCTGCACAGAAAGTGCAGAGTGCAGTATCAGTACAACCGACCCCATGTACTGGTAAGTGCCGAGCCTAACCTCGACGAAGTAGTGACGAGGCTAGGACAAGACACATATATAAACATGTGCAATTATACAATATGCTAACAGAAATAACAATTAACAGAAGATAAACAGACATTAACGGGAGGGGAAACATGCTGAGGGGTATCAAAACAAAGGATCACAACACTAGAGGAATTTAAAACAGCTAATAGACCTTGAACCGGTAATAACAAGTAAACACAGCAAACTGGAAAAAAATGCACGACATCACCCTTCGTGCTTTTACTCTCAACCTCACCAGATAATCAATAATGGAAACGTGCACGGCATCACCCTTCGTGCTTTATCACTCTTCCTCACCATATAAATAATAGAAACGTGCACGACATCACCCTCGTGCTTTATCACTCTACCTCACCAAACAAGAGACAACAATAATAGAGAGGTAGAAATGGCAACGACAAGTCTTACTTCAACACTTAATTCTATAATACCAATCTCAACTTTGGGTAAAAACCCCATCAATACCAAATTCCATAAACAAATGATAAGAACTTCTCAACACATCGATTAACTAGTCTACACATGAACAATATGATCAAAATATAACATTTCCAAGAATAATGCTCATTCACATGTTATGACTCGACAACAACATATAGATACTCGTCACCTTACCTATACATCGTACTCAACAACCAAACACATAACACGTAAGCAAATAACACCTAATCCCTCAAGCTAAGGTAAGCCACAATACTTACCTCACTCCTCCGGCCAAAATCAAGGCTCAAACACCACATTTCCCTTCACACAAGCCTCCGGACCGATAGAATCTAGCAAATTATCAACCAAACAATTCAATCTAAGCCTTAGGAACTAACCATGATAGCAAGAATTCAATTTAGGCCATTTTGGAAAACGTCAACAAAAGTCAACCATCCGGGCCCGCTTGGTTCAAATTCGAAACTCGGACCAAAACCCGATCACTCATTCACTCCCGAGCCCGGATATACAATTAATTTTGGAATCCAATCTCAATTTGTGGTCTAAATCCCTAAATTTCAAAATCCCTAGCTTCCACCCAAAAACCCCCAATTCCACCATGAAATCCTAGATTCTATGTTGAAATCTTGTTATAAGAAGTGAAAGATTGAAAGAAAAGAGTAAAGAATCATTTACCTATGATTTGGGGAAGAACTAGCCTTTGGCAAATCGCCTCTTGAGGTTTAGGTTTTGAAAATTTTGGGAAATGAATCAAAAATCCCGTCTAAGTCCCTTTTACACAGCTGCAGATGTCGCATTTGCGACCTGAGCTTTGCAATTGGGAAGCTCGCAGATGCGAAGCACCATCGCAAATGCGAAGTTCTCCACACCTCTGCTTCTTTCGCAATTGCGAACAAGAACCTCCACATATGCGTCTAAATGATCGCATTTGCGATCACTGCCCTACCCAGTGTTACTTCGCAAATGTGAAGAAGTCTTCGCAATTGCGAAGACTGCATGGCCCAGCTTATGATCGCAATTGCGATGAAAGCCTCGCAAAAGCGGAACCTACAGGGTTCGAAATTGTGACGACCCAAAGGGTCATCACCTGTTTCCTCATCCGTTCCGTGCTTCCGAGGCCTTGAAAACCTCATTTTTACTTGCTTCGATTTGCGTGCGCAGTCCGGGCGCATAGCCGGAAAGCTTTTATGTTGAAATATGTGAATTCTATAAAAAATTTGAAGAATTTTGATATAAATATGTTTAAGGTTGACTTCGGTCAACATTTTTGGTAAACGGATCCGGACCTGAGATTGGACGGTCCCGGAAGGTCCGTAGAAAAATATGGGACTCGGGCATGTGCCCGGAGTCGAATTCCGAGGTCTAGAGCCCGAGAAATAAATTTTTCTGTGAAATTGTTTTTCTGAAATTAATAAGGAAAATGGAAATGAAAATTCATTAAAAGACTGTGGTATCGGGCTCGTATTTTGGTTCCGACGCCCAGCACAAGTCTTATATATTGTTTAAGCGCTTTCTGTGAAGTTTGGTCGAAATCGGACGTCGTTTGACGTGTTTCGGACCTAATTATCTAAAGTTGGAAGTTTATGAAGTTTGAAATAGAAACGATGAGTTTGAGGCTTGATTCAATGATTTTGATGTTATTTTGGCAATTTGATCGCTCGAGTAAGTTCGTAAGATGTTATTGAGTTAGGGTGTGTGATTGGTTAGGAGCCCCGAGGGCTCGGGAGTGTTTTCGGAGGTGTTCGGGGTGGTTTTGGACTTAGGATGATATCAGATTTTCTGCAATTTTTACACAGGGATTTCCTTCTTCGCGATCGCGCTCTTCCTCACGCGATCGCATAGCACTGAGTCGTCTTCCTTCGCGATCGCGTATTGAACCACGCGATAGCGTAAGCCAAATCCTTGGACCCCCAGTAGTTCTTCTACGCGATCGCGTAACCCTCCACGCGATCGCAACGACCAGTCAGTGGTACCCTTCGCGATCGCATCCCTATTTCCGCGATCGCGTAGGGCAATTTTGCCCAGCGAATTTTTAAGTTAAAAACAGAACAGTAGCACGGGATTTTTCATAAAAAAACACGAAACTCTTTCTTCTCCAAGCACTTAGGCGTCCATTGAAGCTCCCTTTCATCAAAACTTCTTGGGTAAGCATTGTTCAACTTGTTTCCTTCAATTTCCTTCATTAATTAGTGAATTCCTAGCCCTAAAAACATGAAATCAAGGTAGAAATTATGGATTTTGGGTAGAGTTAGGGTTTTGAGAATTTTGGGTGATTCAACCTCAATTTGGGGTCGAATCTTAAAACAAATTATAGGAGATAATATGTTAAGGTGACTTCGGTCAACATTTTTGGTAAACGGATCCGGACCTGAGATTGGACGGTCCCGGAAGGTCCGTAGAAAAATATGGGACTCGGGCATGTGCCCGGAGTCGAATTCCGAGGTCTAGAGCCCGAGAAATAAATTTTTCTGTGAATTGTTTTTTCTGAAATTAATAAGGAAAATGGAATGAAAATTCATTTAAAGACTGTGGTATCGGGCTCGTATTTTGGTTCGACGCCCAGCCACAAGTCTTATATATTGTTTAAGCGCTTTTCTGTGAAGTTTGGTCGAAATCGGACGTCGTTTGACGTGTTTCGGACCTAATTATCTAAAGTTGGAAGTTTATGAAGTTTGAAATAGTGAAACGATGAGTTTGAAGGCTTGATTCAATGATTTTGATGTTATTTTGGCAATTTGATCGCTCGAGTAAGTTCGTAAGATGTTATTGAGTAGGGTGTGTGATTGGTTAGGAGCCCGAGGCTCGGAGTGTTTTTCGGAGGTGTTCGGGTGGTTTTGGACTTAGGATGATATCAGATTTTCTGCAATTTTTACACAGGGATTTTCCTTCTTCGCGATCGCGCTCTTCCTCACGCGATCGCAATAGCACTGAGTCGTCTTCCTTCGCGATCGCGTATTGAACCACGCGATAGCGTAAAGCCAAATCCTTGGACCCCCAGTAGTTCTTCTACGCGATCGCGTAACCCTCCAGCGATCGCAACGACCAGTCAGTTGGTACCCTTCGCGATCGCATCCCTATTTCCGCGATCGCGTAGGGCAATTTTGCCCCAGCGAATTTTTTAAGTAAAAACAGAACAGTAGCACGGGAATTTTTCATAAAAAAACACGAAACTCTTTCTTCTCCAAGCACTTTAGGCGTCCATTGAAGCTTCCCTTTCATCAAAACTTCTTGGTAAGCATTGTTCAACTTTGTTTCCTTCAATTTCCTTCATTAATTAGTGAATTCCTAGCCTAAAAACATGAATCAAGGTTAGAAATTATGGATTTTGGGTAGAGTTAGGGTTTTGAGAATTTTGGGTGATTCAACCTCAATTTGGGGTCGAATCTTAAAACAAATTATATATTTGCACTCGTGGGGTTATGGGTGATCGGGTTTTGGTCGCGACTCGAGTTTGGACCATGTGGGCCCGGTGTCTAACTTTGGTATTTTTGGAAGAATGCTAGAAATTCATATCTAGGCTATGGGATGTTTGCCTTGAATACTTTTATTGATATTTATTGAATTAATCATGCCTAGATATCACTTGTTTCGGAGTCGGATTGTAGAGGAAAGGCGGTCTTTCGAAGGTTGATTGCTATTCTTGCGGCCGAGGTAAGTGTTTTGGTTTAACCCTAGCTTGAGGGAAAGATGTGAGTCTTATTGCTAATTGCTATGTGATCGAGTGCGATGTATAGGCCATGGTGACGAGTATCTATACATTGGTGTCTAGCATGCCGTGAGTCGTTATAATGTGATTTATCATGAACTGATTGTGAATTCCATGTTTATTGGAGTATTTCTATGTGTTGTGAATAAACATGTGAACGGTAATATGATCATTTGATTTCC